TGAGGCCTTGGGAGGCGTGAACATCATGTGCTCAATTGTGCAATTGGCCTCGATATATGTTTGCTTAAGTGTATCTCATTATCCGAAGCCGTTTTTGTGACTACTGGTTTGATCATTAGAGTGTAAAACCTTTTTAACTCAAAGAAACCAACACGAGCCACTACGCTTCGAAGAAGATTGATTCCAGAATACGTTTACTGAATGCGAGGTCCAGCAATATCCCCAAAAAGCTGAGAACCAATGAGTGTATTGAATTCTTCTGGCGAAAAGGTGCTCCCCTAGCCCTGAGTAATGCTCAAGTATTTCAATTATAACGTTTTGAATAAACAGCAATAGAGCATTAACGCAGTTGATTTGCTTGGTGTACTCTCTGTCTCTCTCTCTCTCAGCCCTAGTAATTAAGTGGACGCATTGAATCTGGGTGTCAGAGAAGTTCACTTTAATAATACTATCGCTTCATAATAACAGTCGACCACATGGCTCTTTCCCCTCACCATAGAAAGCAGTGTTTGTCAGGGATGTTCTGTTTCTCCTTTTAAATCAACTTTATTGTGTACATGATCCTGGGAAGAGCCCTATCCTTATGCGATAATGGTGGCATCGAGATGCTCTCATATTGTAGGTTGTCTGCGCTGGAGTGTGGAAAATACGTTGTTCTGATGAATGGAGATCCAGATAAATTGCAGGTTTATTTCAATTGTTGGAATGCTAGTGCAGCTATGCTCAGTATGCAATTGGCACCGTCAAAGTGTAAAATAGTGGTATTGAATTGGGTGGATCCAGGTCCTCACTCTAGGTGGGGAAACAATACATTGAGTAGACGGCTTTGCCTTCGGGCTGGCAACTGGCGAATGAATCTCAGAGACCGTGTCGGTATGAAGACAGGGAAACCGTTTCGAAGATTTAGGTTGCTTGTGAGAAGTGAATAGACTTTCACGAATAAACGCGCTCGGTTACCCACTCGGATTGATTTTGTGGGCGACAATTCATGACAAGAATGAAGCAACCATCAGTGGTGTCCACAGTTTGCAATGAATTCACTGCTTATACATTAGTTGTGTGAATTTATTCAAAGTTAACCCCACATAGTATTTGATGTATTTGATGATCTTAAGGTTTTAAAATGCATATTCTTTGTTCCGAACCCGCGTGTGTGCAACCCCGCATGCGACAAAAAGAGAGAGAAGCAAGAAAGCGCTGGCAATTTTCTGCCAATCGTATTTGAAGCAATCATCCTCTGTGGTTTGTCACCAGGACGCACGAGCAAACACACACACACACACACACACCAATATGGACAACAAGGCACTTTGTGGATGTGCACGGAACTCTCTCTCTCTCTCGCACGCACGCACACACACACACCTCTGATATTTAACTCACATCGACCTTTTTTTAATCACGTGCACCAACTTTGATGTCATTAGTCCGCACATTGACGCAAGGTTTGTACGCTAGCCAATCAGCAGATGGAATTATGCAACACTGTTATTTCCGATTTTGGGGTTGACGTTCTCGCAACAAGCTTCGAAGAAATGTTATGTAGAAAGTACACCCAAAAGCACGTTTTGCGGGTTGCGTAACTCCACCATGTTGCTGTGGT